GCGTACGACACCAGTATGCAGGGCGTGCCTGGCAGCATATGAATCCGCGTGCGCCGAATTCATCCAGGTCGGCGCCACGGAGATCCATAGCTGCCAGCGAATCAGTGCGGCAATTCCTCTAGCGGGGGACAGCAGAGAGGCCGACCTCTTGACGTGGAGGAAAACCCCTCACAAGCGACTTACTGGGAGGCTCGTAGCAGATGGGCGGGCGAGAGCAACAGCCTTTTCGATCTTCGGCCCGTGTTCCCATTTCCGTGTGTGGTTATTAGGCGTTTTCACTATAAGTTCCAAACATAAAAAGTTTCAAACATGAGAAAAATCGGCCCATTATTTAATGCAAAATTTGATAAAATAGTGATAGGAAATAGTACGCGGATTGTGCGACCAGTTACCTCTTTCAAATCACACGCTGTTTAAGAATCGCCATTCGCTGCATTTCCCCGCAGCTCCGCCCACTTTAAAAATACTGTTAGCATTGTGGCAGTGGTATCCTGAGTGTACGAACGAGTTAGTATTTTGATTTTCGATTTTCGATGACAGCAGTAAGGCGAAAGTGCAGCATTTCAATACAGCTTACTTCATTAGCATTATATATAGTATGTAATCATTTCCTGAGAGGTTCTTTTGCGAGGGAAAATGGTTTTTGCCGAAGTTTCTGCTTTATTAATTAATTAACTAATTATTTATTTAAACGTGTTAGAAATACTTCAGCAACTTCCCCTACTTTCATCACGCGATGTTCAAGCAAAGACTAATGATAGAGATCCGCGTATAAAAATAATTATATGAAGTTAATGCGTGCGCACTGGCTACATATTTTGCAGTTAGAGAGATACGGGAGGAAAGCGATAACCGCGCACGATCGAGGACACCGTTTCGCGTTCTCCTCAAACATTACTGTCATAACAAATGCAAACGTTGACCACGCTATCAGTCAAAACTAGCTGGGAAATTTCTCCTATCATCCTAATCTAGCTGGGAAATGTATACACTAGCTGGAAAATTTCTCC